AAGTTCGGTATTTGGACATTAAAATCAATCTTATTTCCTGTATCCATTATCTATGTAGGTCCACATCATCGTAAAGCTCCCATATAATTGTACCTCTCGATATTCCGAAAATTGACGATCTAATGGAATATTCGGTATTCAGAGTGAGATAAAAGAACTGCAACAAAGTCTAACTCTACAATTTTTATATTTTGTTTAAATTTTATTGAATGAAAGCTAAAAATTTCGGAAATGGCATCAACTTTTAAAAAAAGTTTAGATTTGTTCAAATTGGTCACCTCTTTTTATGGACTTTAAGCGGCCAATGAAACCGTCACACGCTGCCTGAATGTTGCTCTGCGGTGTTTTGGCCCATTCCCGTCGAAGCGCCTGTTTGAGATGATCGACACTTTGGTATTTTTTAGTGCCAACCTTGCTTTCTAAAATACTCCAGACACAATAGTCCAACGGATTGGTATCCGGAGATTTTGATGGCCATTGTGCGCTTGAAATGAAGCGAGAAACTTCATTTTGTAGCCATTTTTGGGTGGCGCGTGCTGAGTGCTGAGTCCTATTGGAATGTTCAAGGTCTGCTGCAAAAATGTTTGCCCGCCCAAGGCTTTAATACGCCTTCCAGAATATTTTCGCGATAATATTTGACATTAATTCTGATGCCACGGTAGCCAACCGAAGGTGCACATTTTCCGCTGACCTCTTTGGCAAGTCAATACGATCATTTTATTTGTTTACAAACTGCTGGACAACGAGTGTTTTCTCATCGGAGATGGGGAAAACCAAATTCGGCAGTTCACCACTTTCGGCCCAGCGAAGCAACTCTTTAGCTTTTTTGAGTCTAATTTCTTTCCGTTGCGGTGTAAGTTCTTGCACTTTTTGGAATTTCAATCGCTTTTCCCCGAATTCATTTTTCAATATTTGCCGAATGGAATATTGCGATATGTTCAGTTCACGAGCCATTTTTCGGCCACTGCGACGCGGGTTTAGATAAAGTCGCTTCTTTATTTTTCGAACCATTTCTGCTGATTTTGCTGTTTTCTTCCGTCCACTTCCTTGATGTCGGGCTACGCTACAGGTATCACGGTAACGAGCGATGGTACGAGACACAAAAGATTTATTCACATTTCAATGCTGGAGTGCTCTAACGGTAGCCACTTGTGTTTTTCTGCCAAATAAAAAGAAATCACTCTATCACGCTTGCAATCCATCACGAATTACTTTTTTCAGGAATAATTTCAACAGCTGTCGGAGTGGCTCAGAAATGACAGCAGACTGATGTTGGTTGCAGTTTTTTCATCTCACCCTGTATATTTTCCGATATTTTCATTATAAGTTCGATCCGGACAAACTTAACACTATTTTACTTACTTGAAGATGAATTTGCAATTATATTGTTGCATAGTGTTATCGTCGAACTACAGAAAATAACATGGAAATTAAATTATAGACTTTGGAATACAATATAAGTACATTCATAAGAAATCTACACATGCATCTTGCTGACGTAGTAGCAAAGTCCATTGACCAAATTATTAGTATTCCACAAAAACATTTTCGTGTCTTTGTTTAGACAAAATTATCAGCGGGGGCAGTATATAATCTACACCCGCAATAATCGCAAAATGACAGTCCCAGACATTTATGAAACTCATAAGAAATATAAATGGCCATTGAAATAGGTATAATATGTTTAAGCTACTGGTTTTAATTGAGAGGTAATAATAACTCATTAAATCCCGACAAAAAAAATAACACAGTGATAAGGAATGTCAGTTTTATTATTGGATCTATTTAATATGTGAAAGCGTTCGTGTCCATAGACACGAATGTAGTTATAATCACATTGTATGTATTACATATTGTGGATTATTCTTAATCTATGTTTCAGCTCTTTTTTCCCTTGGAAAAAGAGACATACAAAGTTAGAGAGATAGAGAGAGAGAGAGAATCTCTTGTGAGCCACAGTGGGGGATTATATAGTGTTATATGACATTTTAAATAAAATCGTGTATAATTATAAACGGCATTGATGGTGGATATTTAATCAACCATAATCTACTGTAAGACATTCGAAATATTTCAAATGTTTTTGAGTTCCTTTGAGGAGGACTGTGTTCTCCATAGGATAACATTTATAAAGAAAATTTTAATAATGAAATTAAGCACATAAGAAGTGTCATCATTTTACGTGTTCCCTTAGTAAGAATATAATTAAAAGCATTAATTCAGAAAGTCAATTCTTGTTCCATGAAAATGTGATATGAAAATCTTTATAAAAGAGGAAAATATTCATGGATATATATTTTTACCATCAGACGTTGTCAAAGGAATAATTATACCCTCAGCCTTACGGCTGGAGAGGATATATATCATTTGATACGGATAAAACGTGACACATCGAAATTACGATTTTATGGTTTCAAACTTTGTACATCGTAATATTATTATAAAAATTAGATCGAGTTCGGAGATGGACAATATCGGTCCACTCCTTCTGGTATCACACCCACAAAAGGTCGAAATTTAAAAAAAAAAAAAAAATTACTACACAGAAAAGGAAGGATAATCCGATTTTTCTCCAACTTTACAAATCCTAAAATTTGCATCAGTGCTAGGTCAGGTGCGAAAATGGACAATACCGGTCTACTCCATCAAGTACCTCCACCACAAAGAGTCAAAATTTTGAATAATTACAACTCTCATAAAATATGCTGTAAGAGTCCGATTGTCTTTAAATTACACACATCACAATATTTTTATTAACCCAAGGTCTAGTGTGAAGATGGAATATATGGTCCACTCCTTCTGGTACCTCCCCCACATAGGGTAACAACTTTGAATATTCGTGAAGCCCATAGAACGCGAAATTTATATCCCATTCCATTCAGACTTGACAAATCTCTGTTTATCTATCAACACAGAATCGGTTATAAAGATGGTAAAAATCCGACCATTCCTTCAGGGGAAACATTTTTGAATAGCCAAAAAAAATTATAAAATCTGAAATAAGCATCCGGGTCTCTTCACACTTCAAACATCACAATATTTTAACCCAAAGTTTGGTGTAAAGATAGGATAAATCGGTCCACTCTCCTTCTGGTGCCTCCCCCGCAACGGGTCAAAATTTTGAATAACCATGAAGCTTATACAACGCGAACAAATTTTCATATTACGAGAATCCTGAGAAAACCTGGCGGTTCTAAATTATTTTTTTTTGAAAATATGAAATTGAAAATATTTTCAGAGGGTATATATCATTTGCCTCATCGAAATAACGGTTTTCACTTTTTGGACCAAATCCGTTTCAGGACATTTGGAGTCGATCTAGGGATATCCGTTCGTCCATCTGTCTGGCTGGTGTACACGATAACTCTCAAAGAGAGTATCTGATTTGATCCAAACTTGGTACATCGTAATATTTTTGTCAAACTTAGATCGAGTTCGAAGATATGTCACATCGGGCCACTCTTTCTGGTACCTCTCCACAAAAATTCAAAAATTTCAAAGAAAATAATTTACCCCATGGAAAGAGAAGGGACCTTTCGATTTTTTGCAAACTTTATTAATACCAATATTTTTGTCAGTGCTAGGTCAGGTGCGATAATTGACAATATTAGTCCACTCCATTAAGTACCTCTCCCACAAACTCGATCTAAGTTTGACAAAAATATTACGATGTACCAAGTTTGGACCAAATCGGATACTCCCTTCGAGAGTTATTGTTCGCACTAGCCAGACAGATAGACAGACCGACGGACGGACGGACATCGCTAAATCGACTCCAAATTTTCTGAAACGGATTTGGTCCAAAGAGACCTAGGGTATAAAACCGTTATTTCGACTAGGCACGTTTTGACCGTATCTAATTGTATATACCCTCTGTAGCCAAATGGCTGAGGGTATAATATTTATTGGAGCACTAGATATATCCGACCGAGTTTCACCAAATGGAAAAATTCGGCTGAATATGAAGAAGTCTATCCCATTTTGGGCTTATATTAAATTTATGGTGGACAAATTTGGCAGAGGTATTTTCGAGCTGTATCTGATATCTGGTACCAAAGATCATTGTTGTGGAGTGCCCATTGCGCATGTGGAGGGCTTAAAACCCTAAATCCGATGAAACATATACATGGGAGGTATAGCTATATTTGAACCAATTTTCTCCAAATTTTTGATGTACTTGCTTCTAGACTGAATTCGGTCGGATGTGCCAAAATTCAGACCATTTGGACTGATATGGCTCATTTGGTGCACAATTAACCCGAAACACAGGAGTACTGATACATTACAAAAGTAATTCGAATTTTATACAAAATCGTACACTGTACTAAATAAACAAACAAACAGATTTGGTGTCATTGTGCCACGGCAGGCCAATTCCAGCAAGCGAATGACGTTTAAACCTTCAGCTGGTACGTATCACTGATATGGATGAATGGAACACAAGTCAGCTTATCACCAGAGCTGACAACTAGTAATCAAATCAAATAATAAACAATATAACTATTTGAAATACGATTCGAGTCGATTTCGTTTCACCGTACTAGTGTGCATTTACTAATGTCTATATTTCTATATTAAACTGAATAGTCCCTTTTCAAAGGCAATTGTTAATATATCAAATTTTAAATATTATGATTCGAATTTAAAAATTAATATAATTAGAATTACAAATTGAATTATTCGAATTACAATTGGAATTCTCGAATTACAACTGAAATAATTCGAATTACAAATGGAATTCTCGAATTACAAATGAAATGTTACGAATTAATTCAAAAATTATTCGAATTACAACTGAAAAATGTGTAGTTTAACATTGGTAATTATTGTACCATGGGTTCATCCAGTGCCATATAACTGTCTAATGTAGGGTGTAGTACATACTTATTTACGTACACAATCACACATACATACATTGTATAGTCTCCCATTTTTCCAGCATTTGATTGCAACCGGAGAAGATTTTAATAATTTTTCTTGTTTTCTCCGCTGCCACTCATTTATAATAGAAATCGGCAGAGTAGTCAGGGTGGCTAGCGAGCGCAAGTGGTGACATTATTGAAACCAAACAAAGTCATTATTCTACGAAGCCGGATATACATGAGCGTATATACGCGGACAATAGACTCAACGCTCTGTAAAAAAATAACAACAAACAGACGAAAGTTCATTTTTCAAAATTAGAGCAGCGATTTGATATTGAAAAGAAAATAAATTGAAAGCTATGTCAAGTTTGGGCCGTTTACGTTTAATAACCTTTGATGTGACCAACACTTTGCTGCAATTCCGTTCAAGTCCCGGCAAACAATATGGTGAAATTGGCGCCCTATTCGGTGTACGTTGTAATAACAATGATTTGGTGAAAAATTTCCGAGCAAATTGGTATGTAAAATAAATTAGAAGATTGTTTAAAATAATAATATAAAATAAAATAAAATAATTACATTTGGATATTAAAAAAGTGGTAGATATGGAATGTGAACTTGGCTAAATTGAATTTATTTAATTGGACAATATAAAATGTTAAGTTCTAAGCATTATTTTGCGATACACATAGAATAAAATTGATGCCAACTAAGCGAAAACAGAGAAAAGTCTATATACAGCCTATTCAGGTAGCCTCCATTATTAATTATGCTGGCCGAAAATGGAAAAACTACCAGCGGTAAAAAAAACAAGTAACATGTTAAATATTATCAGTCGGTTTTGCCGACAGATGTATACCCCCAGCCTTGAGTTATGATTATTCTAACTGTTGACCCTCTATGGGGGAGTTTCCGAAGCGGTTGCCAATAATGTCCAATTCTTATCTGACCTAAGGCTGATATAAATGCTACAACGTGCCATAATTGAAATATACAGGGTGAGATAAAAAATCTGCAACAAAGTCAAACGTCACATTTTTACATTTTTTTAAATTTTTTTGAATGAAAGCAATAAAATGTCGGAAATAGCATCAAATCTTAGAATAAGTTTAGATTTGTTCGAATCGGCCATCTTTGGCAAGAGTTAAGGCCTTCAAACGGCCAATGAAACCGTCACACGCTGCCCGAATGTTGCTCTGCGGTATTTTGGTCCATTCCCAGCGAAGCGCTTGATTGAAGTGATCGACACTTTGGTTTTTTTTAGTGCCAACCTTGCTTTAAAAAATATTCCATACACAATAGTCCAACGGATTGGTATTCGGCTGGAAATGGATCGAGCAACCTCATTTTGTAACCATTATTTGGTGGTACGTGCTGAGTCCTGTTGGAATGTCCAAGGTCTGCAGCCAAAATGTTTGCGTGCCCAAGACTCAAAAAGACCCTCCAGAATATTTTTGCGATAATATTCGGCATTTATTCTGATGAAACTATTCAATTAATACGAGCGGAGAACGACCATCGGCTGTTATGGCAGCCCACATCATCACCATGGCCGGCGCTTGAGTTCTGGTGGCCAACCTAGGGTGCACATTTTCAGCTGACTTCATTGGCAAGTAAACACGATTATTTTGTTTGTTTACAAACTGCTGGACAACGAATGTTTTCTCATCGGAGACAGAGAAAACCAAATTCGGCAGTCCACCACTTTCGGGCAAGCGAAGCAACTCTAGCTCTTTTGAGTCTATTTTCTATTTTCTTTCTGTTGCGGTGTAAGTAAGTTCCTTTTTGGAATTTCAATGGCTTTACCCCGAGCTCATTTTTCAATATTTGCCGAATGGAATATTGCGATATGTTCAGCTCACGAGCCATTTTCGGCCACTGCGACGCGGGTTTCGATCAAGTCGCCTCTTTACTTTTCGAACCATTTCTGCTGATGTTGCTGTTTTCTTCCGTCCACTTCCTTGACGTCGGGCTTTGCTACCAGCATAACGGTAACGAGCGATGGTACGAGACACAAAACATTTATTCACATTTAAATGCTGGAGTGCTCTAACGATAGCCACTTGTGGTTTTCAAGCCAAAAATAAAGAAATCACACTATCACGCTTGAATTCCATCACGAATAACTTTTTTTCTGGAAAATTCTCACCAAAATGCTTTTGTACGCTTGCAATCAATATAATGAGCTGTCACTGGAATAATTTTAACAGACGGGCGAACATGGCTAGATCGACTCCAAATGTCCTGAAACGGATTTGGTCCAAAGAGGCCAAGGGTTTAAAACCGTTATTTCGATGAAGCACGTTTTGGACGTATCAAATTTCTGATTTAAAACTTATTTAGTCGAGAACTGCATCTCTTATTTCCGATATAATAATCCTTGCCATATATGAACACGACATGATTTCAAAATCCAATTTTAATCATTTAAATAACTTCCTATTTTTCCATAATTTCAGGCAAAAAATGAACCGATTGTATCCAAATTTTGGCCGGCACTCAGCTTTGCTGGAATGGCAGCAGTGGTGGAGAGAGTTGATTGCTAGTAAGTACCTAAATTGAAATTATTATTCTCATCATTTTCCAATCGTATTTAATTAACTCACCGTTTCATTGCAGACACATTTGCCGATAGCGGGGCGCGTATACCAGAAGATAAAATCGAAAATTTCAGCAAACATTTACTCGAGCTGTATAAGACCTCATCATGCTGGCAGCATTGTAATGGTAGTGTTGACCTACTCAACTACTTGCGCATGCAACAACAATTGGGAGCTAGAGAAAACGGCAAGGGGGAACAACCCTTTGTTATGGGAGTGATTGCAAATTTTGATCCACGTCTACCCAAGCTTTTGGGTAATTTAAAAATTGATCATTTTCTTGAGTTTGCTCTCAACTCCTATGACTGTAAGGTGGAAAAACCAAGTCCGGAAATTTTCGATATGGCAATTAAGGCCTCAAAACTGAAGGATCTCAAACCTGAGCAATGTTTACACATTGGTGATGGACCCACAACAGATTATATGGCTGCCAAGGGGGCTGGTTGGAATGCAGCTTTGGTGCATGAGAAAAATGCCGAATATTTGATGGAGAAATACGGGGAAGATAAAATCGATCCAAGCTATGTGTTTCCAAGCTTATATGACTTCCACAAGAAACTAGCCAACAATAATATAGTGTGGTAGATTTAATATAACAAAAAATATATGTATATATGTAATCTTTCTTAATTGTAAGCTGAACTAAATTGCAATAAAACTAACAAAGTAACAATTCATTTAAAATAAACTACTACTATGTCTTATTCAATGGTTTAATATCAGCCAATAACGTTGAGTGACTTTCGAAAAGTTCCACCAATGGATCCTGTGGTTTATTGTATTCCCGATCGTATTCCACACCAATTGCCCACAACGATTCCAAGTCATATGTTTCTCTGGCTTTTGGTGAGAAAATATGCAAGGCTATATTACCCAAATCCATGGCCATCCAATCGCGACTCTTTTCGCCCTCAATTTTTGGCAGAACATCACCTTTATGTCTTTTCATTTTGAACACCCGTCTCACAAATTCTGCTGTGGCCAACATATGGCGGTAGCTGCGACCACTGCAGATAACCATGTGGTCGACATACTTTAGATCTTTTGGTACAGAGCAAACAAATATATCTTCGGCACTTTCTTTGCGTAAAACATCCACTAGATCCTCCACATCAAAGACACCATGTACACCTCCTGCAATAATACAAACAATATTAAAAATAGGAATCTATAGCCAATTCCGAAATACGTACTTTTTAAATTAAGTCCCAGATATGCATCACTGTACAAATCATCGGTTTCATCTTGTGTCTGATAGCGTTCCCGCTCCTCAACAACATCCAATATTTCCGGTGATTCTTCTTCCCGAAACTCTTTGAATTTGTGTCTCATGGCGCCGGTCAAAACTGCTTGTTCCGTTTCATAATCGGAGGTGTGTTTTTCCTGCTTTTTGTCAGCTTCTCGTTTCAGTTCAGGTTTAGTAAATTCATCATGAAAGTATCGCAGCACTGGAACACTTAATCGCTTATCCCGAACAAGACGAAATAGGCGGGTGTTTATCATTTTTTCCTATTACAATGGGAGGAATCTGTGGAAGTGTTGTGCCGTTCCGAAACGAAATAGTTCAAAGAAACTATTCACATGTTGGAGTATAGGAATGAGTTCATAAAAACAATTCTTCTTCACACTTTACGGCAATCCACATAAAGTGATAGCATACACACATATGGTGGCTTCCAGTCAGTTTTTGATTGTATAATAAGAAAAAAATGGACGGGAAGTGAAGGGAGCCGTTATCTTGGCTTTGCCTTGATTTTCGCCTGGACATATATTTATCTGGGGTTAGATAGAAAGAAATTCATTTTATTACTTTTGTTTATTTCAAAACATATAACACAATATAAATGAGAATACAGAAGGTTGTTATGGAACCATGAATGTGTTTTTAAATAAAGGGTGAATTTTTAGCTATTATATTTTTGGTAACACTGATTGAAACAGCACTCTCTTAGTTTAAAACTATAATTTATATATGAATCGTCTTACAAACGAGTAAAGTAAAGCATTGAATTTCATTATTAAAGTGCTTACTTTGTTGAGAAAGTTTATCGCGCGCTTCTTCCATTTTATGGTCAGTTTAATCGAAGCTCATTTTTGGCACACTGGGTACGTAAATAAGCATAATTGTCCATTTTGGGTCAGAGGCATTGCAAGTCATGTTTAGGTGAGGTACATGGGCCGGTGGCATTATTGGCAGTACTTCTTCAGAGATGCTGCGAATCGTAACGTACTTGTAAATGGAGAGAGCTACCGTGAAATTATATCCAACTTAATTGCCTAAAATGCAAAAGTTTGACGGGCAAAATATTTTGGTTCCAACTGCCTCACATAACAATAGACTTATTGTGAACGTTTAATTTTAAGATCGAGATCGGTCAATTGGCTACCTAGCATGGTAGAAAAATACAGGTAGATGCATCAACGCTTGGGAACATTGATACGTCAATAATTTTAAAATGTTTTATGAAAAATAAGTGGATTTTTAAATGTTTTTTTTTTATACGACGCAAGTCAGAGGTTGTTATAATATGAATTTTTCAACAATTTTTACAAATTATAATCATTTTTCATTCAACATTTTCAATTCCAAAATCGGTTTGACATTTCATTGTCCCAGCAGCTGGGTCAAACATATTTATATGAATCGTACTAATAATTCAATTAAAGATTTAGTGTTTTTTCTGAAATTTATGTGTTTTTATTAATTTATTAATTTAAATAACCCTCGCCCCTTTGTGTATTCAATGAACACATATATTTTGCATACTGGAAATAATGTTTTTCGAACTGGTTCCTTCTTTTCCTCAGGTGAATTAACGGCTGTTGTGAAGTTGTGCCTCTTCCACTTTCTATACATTCGGCTTGTTGCCTCTTACTCCATTCGCAACTTTTTGAATGTTGAGTGTATTAGTGTATATTTGTAAAACACTCGTTAATGTGTCTGTGTACAGAGTACACGGCAAGCACAGAACGTCGCCGTCAATTTGTTTACACCTGATAAGGCGACGGCGTCGACGAAGAGATCTTTCCCCTCCGTTGTCAGAAAACAACACATGGGAATGGAAGTTTAAAACGTGTTTGGTATTTTCCTTGAAATCAATTATAAATTTTTCAATTAAATTTCAAATTACATAGTTCGACTCAACCATAGACATTACCACTAGTTATGCAGACACTGTCAGCCAAACAATTGGAACGTAAAGAACGCAAGAAACAAAAACTAGCCGCTTTGGCCAACTTGATCAAATCCAACGACAAGGACAGAAAGGAACAAATTGACGAAGAAACTATGACTAGGGCTGATAAGGAAATTGCAGCTGGCCAAACAAATGGTACAGAGGAAGGTGATGCTGATGGCTTTACCAAGGTAAGTAGAATACTCTTTTAAATGCTTTTTGACCTGACTAACATCTAGCGGCTCTCCCCCTAGGTAACACATAAAAAGAGTAAAAAGAAAGCACAGACCAATAACGATGAAGAGCCAGCCATGAAAAAATCAAAACAAGAAAACGGGGACAGTGTAAACGAGGAAGCTGAAAAGGTTAACTTAACTGAGGATCAATACAAACAACTGCAGAAAGAACTGCGCGAGAGAAAACGGGCATTGGAAAGTGTCCCATATTTTAGGCTGCGTGAATCTGGAGAAAAGGCACTGCTGAGCTATGGAGACAACGAAAGACGGCCTATCTTTCTGACAGATATCCAGCATCTGGTAATGTCAGCATTGCTGGGCAAAAAATCACCATGCAAACCAGAACGCTGGTGTTTTTTCGACAAGCCAGAAAAAGTATCCCACACTGTAGTTCTCTGCCTGGATGGTCTCTCACTGTTTCACTATCTATCCAATAAGGATAAATTTGAGAAGATCGATAGTATTTTTGAAACCAGCTTAGATGTTCTTATGCCACCAAACACTAAAGAAGATGGTTTCTTAATGGCTGAGGAATTGGTGCAAGTACCGATGACGAACGTGCAGGCCTATAATTTTGTGGAAAAATATGGCTCTCTGGAAGCTGCCATAGCGCTGAACAAAGATCCGACTTTAGTTATTAAATCGATTTTTCCTGTGGAAAACTCTGAAGTGGACAAAGAAGCAAATGACTTACATCCGGATGATAAATTTCCAAGAACTAAGCTTCTGCTATCGGCATTGCAAATGGTGGAAGAAGGCTATCCATTGCCGCTGCGAGGGGAACTTAGCAAACAGTTCCGAACTTACGTACTTACCAAGAAAAAATATGCTCCCGTAACAAATCGCAGTCCACTTTTTGGTGTCGATTGTGAAATGTGTCACACAACAAGTGGCGTCAATGAACTGACCCGAATTTCAATCGTTAATGAAAAGTATGAAACTGTCTACGAGTCAATGGTGCGGCCAGATAATAAAATCATAGATTATCTAACACAATATTCGGGTATTACCGAGGAAATGATGAAGTCAGTTACAAAACAACTCAACCAAGTTCAAAAAGAAGTTTGCGAGATTCTTCCGGATGATGCAATTCTAGTGGGTCACTCTTTGAATTTCGATTTGAATGCCATGAAAATGATGCATCCCTATGTTATTGACACTAGTATCTGTTTCAATTTAACGGGTGGCAGAGCTAAATCTAAACTTAAAAAACTTGCCTTGGAATTTCTCAAGGAAAATATTCAAGAAGGTATGGGTGGTCACGATTCGACGGAAGATTCAATATCATGTTTGAAGTTACTCAAATTAAAGTTAGCCAACAGTTTGGAATTTGGTGATGAACATTTGTTGCAAAAAAAGAGACTGCAAGAAATAATGATGGCCGCCAGTGGTGAGGCTGTACGAAACAACATGTTGGCCCATGCCTCAAAACGGGATAAACGCACTGCCATAATAACGAGCAAACCATTGCCAAACATTGTAAAAGAATTACTTCAAAAAGCTGAGGAAGCCTTCCCCAATGAGTCGACCAAGGTTGTGACAGTTGATGAGGTCAATTCCAACAAAGATGCTGTGCGAAAGTGCCGAGAGATTCAACTGGAAAATGCCCTCACAATATGTAATCTTCGTATAGCACCAGAAGATTTACTTAGTGCCACATTTGAAGATACCGTTGAAAAAATCAACAAATGGGTTTCGAAAATCTGGAAGTCCATGGCCCACAAAGGTCTGCTTGTACTATTAATGGGTGGTGCCAAAGATTGTTCTTCTGGCGTTGCCAAAATATGTATAAAGAAAAATAAAGCTGAAGTTGCTGCTGAACACGAGTTGTCGGTGTAAGATAAAATAAATCCCTTTGACTTTTGTGTACTATGTTATATGATTTATGTTTAAGAACTATAGAAAATAATTACAAATCCAGATCACAGTACCTTTTTGTAAAATGTACAGGAGTTTATAGGAGGCATAAACGGAAATAAAATATTTCGTTTTGTTAATATACATTTGGCAAAGAATACATTTTGCATGAAATTTCGAAAATTTAGTGACTCTCAATGGGGATATTTATCGTCGCACATTTCTGTTTATGGAGAAAAGAAGGAAAGTAAGAACACATGCCATTCAGTGAATGCCACTGCCGATTTCATGCTATACATTCGTTCAGACACTGTTGATCTACCCATCCTGTACCAACGACCTTAAATTTGGGAGCTCGACGTGTAATGATTTCTTTTGGGATAGTTTTGATTTGAGGTATCCAAACTGTGAATTTCTTGCAGTGTCTGAACGACTTTTCCAGGTAAGCACAATTTCATTTTATGTAGCTGTTGAGCCAAGAACATATATGGCCTGTTTCTGTATGACGGTTCGAAAGTGAACCCGAAAGAAAACAGATTGTCCCATTTTCCTTAATAATTAACCCAGCTAATGCGGATATTCGACTATTCCATGCACTATTATTACAATATATCCGTTTTTTCTTCGTAAACGGTCCTAATGTGTGTAACTTCTCACTAATCTAATAAATAAAATAATTTCCAAGAACTTACATGACTATAATTAAATAGTTGCATTGAAGTTTTCGATGGATGGCCGACCTTCGTTCTTATGCATTTTGTCAGAACGGAAGTGGGTGGTTTGAGAAAAGGCATGATTGGTTAATTACAGGCAATATGGGGCAATATTGGTATGTGTGGCAAATTCGAACAGAATTTACACACTAACGAGCAAAAATAAAAAATATATTTGAAGTGACAAAATCGAGTATTAACAAGTAAAAAAGCAGTAAGTTCGGTCAAGTCGAACCATTTGGAAAGAATTTGGAAGTTTTCAAAAAAAAAAAAAAAAAAGAATCTGTTAAAATCTTTAAAATACCGAATGTAGCCGATATATAGGCAACTTGTGTCATAAGCCATTACAATATTCAAATGCGAAAAGTAAAAAAAAAAATCGGTGAATAATGTAGCTAAAATCATCAAAATACCGAACATAGGGAGGTACTGTGGCTATACCAAAACGTGGACCTGCACAGACAATTTTTTGTCATGGGCTGTAGTATGCATTTCGAACTTTAAATACCAAATTTGAAACGATTTCGGCGAATAATGTCGCTAAAATCACCAGAACCGAATATCGGGAGGTACGAAGACGTGGATTACGAACTTCAAATACGAAATTTTAAACAATTCCGGTGAATAATGCCGCTAAAATTATAAGAATGCCGAATATTGGGAGGTGCCGTTATATGGGGGCTATACGAAGACGTGGACCTGGACAGACAATTTTCTGTCTTGGGCTGTAGTATCCATTTCGAACTCCAAATACAAAATTTGAAACAATTCTGGTGAATAATGTCGCTAAAAATCATCCAAATACCGAATATTGGGATCTCCCGAAGACGTGAACCTGCACGGACAATTTTCTATCATAGGCTGTAGAATCCATTACCAACTTCAAATACGAAATTTGAAACAATTCCGGTGAATAATGTCGGTAAAATCATCAAAATACCGAATATCGGGAGGTACCGTTTTATGGATTCTATGGACCTGCACAGACAATTTTCTGTCATAGGCTGTAGTATTCATTAGGAACTTCAAATAACAAATTTGAAACAATTCCGGTGAATAATGCCGCTAAAAATCATCCAAATACCTAATATTGGGATCTCCCGAAGACGTGAACCTGCACGGACAATTTTCTGTCATAGGCTGCATTATTCAACTTCAAATACCAAATTTGAAACAATTCCGGTGATTAATGTCGCTGAAATCATCAAAATACCGAATATAGGGAGGTGCCGTTTTATGGATTCTATACGAAGACGTGGACCTGCACAGACAATTTTCTGTGTTACGTTGTAGTATCCATTACGAACTTCAAATACCAGATTTGAAACAATTCCGGTGAATAATGCCGCTAAAATCATCAAAATACCAAACATCAGGAGGTACCGTTATATGGGGGCTATACGAAGAGGTGGACCTGCAGAGACAATTTTCCGTCTTAGGTTGTAGTATCCATTACGAACTTCAAATACCCGATTTGAAGCAATTCCGGAGAATAATGTCGCTAAAATCATCAAAATACCAAACATCAGGAGGTACCGTTTTATGGGGGCTATACGAAGACGTGGACCTGCACAGACAATTTTCTGTTATAGGCTGTAGTATTCATTACGAACTTCAAATACCAAATTTGAAACAATTCCGGTGAATAATGTCACTAAAATCATCAAAATACCGAATATCGGAAGGTACCGTTATATACGAAGACGTGGGCCTGAGGAGACAATTTTCTGTCTTAAACTGTAATATCCATTATGAACTTCAAATACCAAATATGAAACAATTCCTGTGAATAATGCCGCTAATTCATCAATATACCGAATATCAGGAGGTATAGTTATATGGGGGCTATACCAAGACGTGAACCTGCACAGAAAATTTTCTGTCTTAGGCTGTAGTATCCACTACGAACTTTAAATACCAAATTTGGAAAAATTCCGGCGAATAATGTCGCTTTAATCAGCAAAATACCGAAAAATACCATTTTATGGGGCTATACCAAAACGTGGACCTACATGGCCCATTTTAAATACCAAAAGTCCTACAGACATAGTAAACATTTGAGTAAAATTTTATCAACCTACTTTATTTCGTTTCCATAGACGGACGAGCATCCCTAAATCGACATAGAATTTTATCCTGATCAAGAATATATATACTTTGTGGGGTCTTAAATGTATATTTCGAGGTGTTACAAACGGAATGACAAACTTAATATACGCTCCATACTATGGTAGAAAATATAACATGTTTGAATGGAAATTAAAAGCCTATTTGTATACTTACATGGACTCATTGAGAGAGGAGTTCGGTGAACATGTTATTTCATGTTCGGAATCGGTCAATTGGTGGCCTAGATCGTGTGGTTCAACGCCTTCAAACTATTTTATATGGGGCTATGTTAAATTTAATGTCTATCCAGACGAGTCCGCTCGAATTGACGCATTGGGAGAGAACATAGAAGAATTAATTTGTGAGACACCAAAATTGGATTAAGCGGATTGACCATTTAAAGTGCAGTCGCGGTCGACATTTGCCACACATAAAGTTATCATCAACCATTAAATTATATGGTCCGTACTAACAATTCATAAAAAATTTTTCATGCATTTCTTATTGGATTTTATGTGTTTTTTGGGAGACTTAGGATATCTCCTAAAAATCACTCTTTATTTACATAAATGTTTGTATTTTCAGCTTTGACACAATTTCGTCCATGACTGTAACTGCTTCGTTTTTCATTGGAGAAACCCATGCACACAAAAAATATTTCATGACATACAAACATGCTCCACATTTTTTTCTTGCATGCAATATTTAGTTAATGTTAAACGGTTTTCCTGGAATGCTACTAATTATGGCAAGGTTTGTGTTCTGTTTTGTTGACGGTTTTTTTGTTGTGAATTCCTCTTTTCGCCAAAAAACGCATTGTTGGCTGAGAGCGTACGACAACAGCGTCGATAGGAATCCATTCTTGTTTTAGTTCACTTTGTGTCTTTTGGTGGGTAAAGACGTTTTTGCCCCAAAATTTCGGTTGAAACACATACTTACATAAATCGATCAGATGAGAGGAAACCCTTGCGAAAATTGAAGAAGAAAGTGATAATAAAAGTAAATACCAATCGAATGAAATAAGTGGCAATTTTTTAATATTTTTTATATTGAGTTAGGTCGGTAATCTTTAAAATACATCTGTAAATAATTGTGTTTTGCTTCGTTTTTTATATCGATGTGATAAAATACTATTCTATTATGCTTTGTTCAACGAGGGTATTGTTTCTCATATTAGTTATGACGTTATACATCAAAGCATTCCGCGATTGTGCACGCAATTTTTGCCGCCGTTTTTTCTTTGTTCGCTTTTTATTTTGAGGTTGAGATATTGTTGTTGTATGTATGTGCTACAAGCTACTCCTTATATGTGAAATTAAAAATTGTATTACATTGATTTGGCGACCGCTTCAAGATTATTACTAGATGGAAATTAAATTGAAAATTTAAAGAATTTATCTTTACATAATAAGGAGCAATTGTAATCATTAAAGCAAGGACGATATATTAAAGTTTGAAGTGATTTATTTAGAAAATGGCCAGTCCGTCGTCATTCATTCATTCGTTTTTCAGTAAACAATCAAAGACCTAAAATGGTAAAGACTAGACAAAATGCATTCTGAGCAAATGGTTTGAGGCTATACTACTTTGAATAACAGTATATGACAAAGGCATGTTAATATAAAAAACACAATTATAGGAAAGAATGACAAATAAAAGATTGGATAATCCAAAATATTGGATTCAAAATTTTATTCCATATACCTTCCCAAATAATTGCATACTGCCTTAGCGGTTTAAATTGTTTAACATTGGTAACTATTTTGTTACGATATCATAACAACAGAGGTATTTTTCACAGGGTTGCCATATTTTACTCTGTCTTGTCCTATCTTTATACTTCTATGTCTTTGAAACAATAGTAAATAGTTCTAATTAAAGCGGTGCAAGTAGATAAAATTTGGAAAGGTGGGAGTATCAGATATAGATTGCCATCAATTTTGTTGACCCCCATAATGGGCCCTTTTTGACTTTTTGGGGGTTTTATAAAAAATCCGGTTCCAAAAAATCGATAATTTGACTGTAACTTCCGAACCTTGACCACTTACCCCATCATGTGCCCACTTGCTGGATAGGTATAAGCTTTCCAACGATACCTATATTGTCTATATCGGGTAATTGGATCCGGGTCCAGGCCGGGTCTTGAACCCGGATTTTCGGGTCAAAAATCTGGGTTCCCGGGTCCGTCCCCCAAGAAAAAAATAGTTTCCCGGAGTCAGGGTACCTACCTCTGGGAAAAATTTCGAATTAAGCCAACCCAGTAAATGGAGCTAATATTAGAAAATACTTTTGCCGGCGTTTTGAAAGTTTACATGGGAAAGTAACCTATATAGAAATAATAAGTTCTCCCCTCTTCCACAT